GCATGGAGCCCAATCAAACCGACCATAAATTCTCTACCCGATGTCCTCAACGGTGAAATGCACCACCTCAGTATACGTCATTCTCGTGCCATTTCCTCCTATCAGACGTTCTACTAAACTTACTTCCAGTTACACACATACTTCCATCCTCTGAAGCGGCGTTGACCAATGCAAAGATCCCCAAACAATACAGGGCCAGATCAGGCTAACCGTTGCCTAGCATCATAACCTCGCTGCGTATTGACCATCGATGCCATCTCAGCCAAGAACATGCATTAACTGCCTTCCGGGCAACAAGCCAAAACCCTAGCCAAAAGTCGCACCTGCGCTACCCCATATATACCCACTGACGCAAAACAAAGAAGGGAAAAAAAGCGAGGCAAAATTTCTCTCCACACGGCTCACGCTCTGCCCGAGCACGTCCCTCCCTGTAGTCCGCGCAGTGATGGGTCACGTCCAAGCGCCGGAAACGGCACCGCGGACACATCAACGCGTGCCTGGACTAGGAAAGCCGCGCGGAGCGTTTCCGCTCGCGTCCATGGCCGACTGACGGGCTGGCCCGGGCGCGTCGGCGGACCGCATGACATGAAATCAACAGTATCATGCGCCCATCACGTCTTGTCCCCTGCTGGCTGGTTGGCCCGTGTCAAGTTCGAGAATAACTCTCGCATCCCCAGCCTCCGCCTGCGCCACTGATGATGGATCATGCATGCGATGCATGGATGTCCGGTGATCGATCGATATTACCATCAGCGATTGGATGGACGTGATCGGTCACGAGCATTCATTCGTTTCTCCTCGGTGGATAGCGACTTCCGGCCCGATCGATCTTGCATATCGGGTGGAAGGAAGACTGCTGGAATCAGTTGACGATATTGCCGGATGCATGCAAAGGAATGAGGATTGGTAAGTGGTAACACCTTCCTGAGCAAAGCTTTCAAGAAGATTGCCGGACAGTACTAAATTACAAACTAGCAAATGTTCTAGCCTGTCTGGCTGCATGGCCTTTTTATATTGTGCATGATAATACGTGTCCCATTAGTATCATAAATATTAAAATACAAGTCACGTAAAAATCGACATGATAATACTGGAAAGATAGAAAAACATCTATAAGCTTGACACCAACGCCCGTCACTTATCTCCAGCACCACCACAACAGCCATCAAAGAATCGAATGACGGATCACCTCCTCACCCGAGCTCGACGCAGCTCCATCGCTGATATGCAGCTTTATGGACCTCTAAGGTGGCTCACCCAGAGTGACATCATTGTCGTTAAATGAATCAGACCGGGGCAACACCCCGGACACGTCATCGAACTCCAAATCTGGCAGACTAAGATGCCGAAGTAGGAAACCACACCTGTCATTCATCAACCACGAACCCATCACACGCTTCGTTTTTCAGATGTCGTCAATGCAGACCACAATCTGCATCTGCTCCTCGACTACCTCCCAAGTTCCGACGTTGCAGCAGACGTTGTCGCACGACGGAGCCCGAGGACGCATGTCCGCCAGGAGGATGCCGCCGCCGCCACACCATCCTTGATTGAACAGACTGGTTCCCAAACCACCCCAACCATTGGACCGATCACCTTGTCGAGGAAGAATCTGAAGAATCTTTATTCAGCGCCACCATCGCTGCCGCCAAATCCAAGACGATGAACAGCCTAAAAACAAAGTTGCTTTAGCCTAAAACTATCCACACACCTGGATCCAGCGACCCCCTCACCACCGACGACCGAGGTCGTCGGCGGAGGGGAACCGCCGGAGGACGGCGGTGGGGAAAGTCTCCTTGGGAGAGACACTGCCAGGTCGCCCTTTTTCTTCCAGAGGAAGAAAGAACGAATCGTCAAAAAATTGTGGACCTATGCTATAGTTTTTATGGAAAACGAAGTCTTTTTTTAACATATGTACAGACACAAGCGCTCATACATACGCGCATACACTCATCCCTATGAACACATACACGCACACCCTACCCCTATGAGCACCTTCGAGAGACGGAGCCGTCATGCCATCTTGAGATTTACAAAGTCACCGTAAACGCCTTGTCATCGACGAAAACGTCTGCTCCCAGTGAAAGCGCATCGCCGGAAATTCTGAAATAAATTCAGGAATAATGCAAGTAAGAGGACCTGAATGGTGGGTTGGAATACCACTGTCTCTCAAACCATCCAACCACAGGAAAAATAAAGTCTGTCAGACTACGGATAGATGGTGTGGGACAATACGTGTGTACACATACATGTAAACTTCTTCTTTTTTTTTTTGCGGGTAATACATGTAAAAGTTCAATGATAGAAATCACGCATCTACGTGCACCTGTCACGTGCTGCATATACGTAGTGAAGACACGCTAACATGCAAAAACTGACGTGTGGACCTGATCTACAGGCTTCTCTTGTCAGTAATAATAGAGCCGGGAGCTCTACTTGATTTTCTATGAAGTAAAAATACCACTTAAATGCTATCACCTTTGTTCCGAATTATAAGACATTTTGGATATTACTAGAACAATGTGCATGCGTTGCAATAGGATATAAATATTCTAGTACGTTAGCTTGTGATTTACCTATCCATAATAATCTGTGTAAATAAATGTCCATCAAATTCTGCCTGTAAATTAACTTATATTCCGATCCGAAGTTCAGTAAGTAAATTAAAGTGAAATTGGTTAAGAAGGTAAGTAAATTAAGTTGATTGATTATCATACATGAAAGGTTGAATGAAGGTGTGGTGAAAAGAAAGATGAAATGAAAACCTTACATTTTTTAAGTAGTAGAGATAGAGATTACGACATACGAACTGAAATAAGTGAAACAAACACACCAAAATACGTCTATACACATTAGATTCAGGAAAAAAATAGAATATCTTATAATTCGAAATCAGAGGGATTTGCGATGAGGCTTACAACTCACTAATTGAAAACTAACTAGATCCCTCCCATTTTTTAATTAATATGTGTCCTAATATTTTTTTTAGGGATATATTACCTCCATAGTTGATGATAAGTATGGGCAAAAAGAACGAAGATCTTTTCATTCCAAAAGGAAATTAATATAATTTTTGGAAAAAAATCGTGAGAGTAGAAATAACTGAATTAAAGCAATGAATTTGAAAATTGCAGTTTCTGCAATTTTATTTTTGAGAAATGCATTC